CCGATTCACTCTGTGACGTGGGCCACTCACCTGACATTCACCCTTACAAAAAAGCAGCAATGCTCACTTAAAATGGTAACTAATAAAGACAATTTTACAGAAGCACCTGGTACAGGGGCATACTGTGTATTCTAACAAATGACTGTCACAACAGAGCCTGACATTCCTGTTTGTGTGTGTGTGTGTGTGCACGCGCAGTGTGAATACAGGGATAGCACATAAATGGCTTCACCTTATTACTGATTTTAAGAAAAGCTCTATCCCAGCACTCAGGAAGCAGAGGCAGGCAGATCTCTATGAGTTCGAGGCCAGCCTGGTCTACAGAGTAAGTTCCAGGCCAGCTAGGACTATAGAGAGAAAAACCCTTCCGTAGAGTGGCTCTACGGAAAAGTCTTCACAAAATATTCAACGAGGGGGCTAGAGAGATGGCCCAGTGGTTAAGGGCACTGGTTGCTCTTCCAGAGGACCCGGGGTTCAATTCCCAGCACTCACACCTATCTCTAAGTTCAGTTCTTGGGAGCCTGACACCCTCACACAGATATACATGCAGGCAAAAACACCAATGTACACAAAATAAAACATTTTTAAAAATACTTAAAGAAGTGGGATACATTCTGCAGCAAATTGGAATATCTGATGACTTAAGTAACTGCAGAAGCACCAAGTGTGAAAGACAGAGCAGAGTAGGATCAGCACAGAGACGACGGGGGGGGGGGGGGGGTCCCTCTCAAAATAAAACTTTCGTTATGAAGCTTTTAAATTTTCTTTTCTTTGAAAACAGGAAGAATTTACACATCTTCACAGACTTCCCATCAACTGGACATTCAATAAATATTTGCCTATGTAGCCATAAACTTTCATCTCAGTAAGTTCATTGGTATTATGGCTCTAGATGTTAGTTAACACCAGAGTTTCCAATAAGAACCTAGCTGAAGGGCTGGAGAGATGGCTCAGAGATTAAGAGCACTGGCTGCTCTTCCAGAGATCCTGAGTTCAATTCCCAGCAACCACATGGTGGCTCACCATCATCCATAATGGTGGTGCCCTCTTCTGGCGTGCAGACAGAACATCGTATACTAAATAAATAAATAAATCTTAAAAAAAAAAAAAAAAAAAAACCTAGCTGAAAAATCAGAGACTTAACTTACACCAGAAAAGATGCAGGCAATATACTGTAGACCAGGTAATAATTTAATTTAAGGAAATGAGCTGTGTATGGTGTTGCTTTCCTGTAACCCCAGCACTTGGGATGTGGAGGGACAAGGGCTAGCTTGGACTATGTGACAAAACCCTGTATCAAATAGAATACAACACAATAACTTAAGAGAAAATGAATTAACAGAGGAATTTTAAGATAGTTAAAATTATGACATAAATATTTAATAGTTGACATAAATTATGTATGAAACATTTCACATTAGCCCTAATAACCATGTAAATGTGGCATGCACCTCTGCCATGGAGTGAAATTATTTTTCTAAGTTAAAATTCCAAGTAATAAAAACAGTATCTGGCAGTGGTATGTCCTCAGTATTGTTTAGATAAAAATACAAAATTTAGAGGTAGTCAAGACTTTTTATAATTTAATTAAAGACGTTCTAAATTGACTATATTCTAGTAAGCTGTTTTTTTCAAAAAGTTGTTTTAATATAAATATCACAGTGTTCCTATTTGGTTAGTTATCACAGCAAAACATAAATAAATAAGTCATTCACATTATTGACATAACTGTCTTGATGAAAATGTAGTACTTAAGATGAGGCAGGACACATGTTCTGTCAGTACTCCACAACACCAGCAGGAACTCAGAACTGCCTCGTTCCACCCTCTCTGGTCAGTCAGTGCACAGTGACAGGCTCCCTCTCTCAAAACCAACTCTGCTACCAACACAACTGAGGATTTAAAAACTATGACGATAAAAAATGACAGGTATGCTACATAAAAACAGCCTTTAGGGGGCTGGAGAGATGGCTCAGTGGTTAAGAACACTGCCTGCTCTTCCAAAGGTCCTGAGTTCAATTCCCAGAAACCACATGGTGGCTCACAATCATCCGTAATGAGATTTGGTGCCGAACACTGTACACATAATAAATAAATCTTTAAAAAAAAGTGGGGAGGGTTTGGACGGATGGGGAGAGACTAAGGAGGGCTTGCAGGGATGGGGAGACAGTGGGGAAGGTTTGCAGGGGTGGGGAGAGTTTGCAGAGAGGCAGGGAGAGAGTGGGGGAGGGTTTGCAGAGGGGTGGGGAGGGTTTGCAGAGGAGCAGAGAGAAAGCAGTTTGTGTGTTTAAGTGGAGGCAATGGGAAGGTGGGTTCAAGGATAGTGTGCAACCTTGAAAAATCACCCAGCATTCCTTTAAACTAGACAGCCTTCAGCAACGGAAAGACACTGCTCCCATTTCTGGATCAAACCGTCCAAACCAACAACTAGCCCATACTGAAGGCTGGGGTGAGAAGGCAGACGCCTTCTTCATCTGACTTCTGATTTCACCATAACATGAGGTTAAAGTTACTTCTACCCATAAATGCCCCAGACAGACCATAGAAAGGTCCTTGTGCACTTACTGCACATTGATGTGAAGAGCCACCTAGGCAGGGAAAAGCTCGACTCTGTGACGATTTAGTAAAGCAAATAAAAATATTCCTCTCTTCGTATCAGAAGGTAATAAAATACCACCTACCTTCCAAGCTAATGTAAGCTACAAGGTTGGCCTGAAGAATAAACATGTCCCCAGCAGGGTGCTCAGCTGTGACTAACCAATGATGGTTTTTAGAGCCCTTATATGTGACTGACGGCACAGGGTGGGAAGGAACTGTGACTTAAATGTCTAGGTTCAATTGATTTTTCAAGTGTTTTAAATAATAATTTACTACAGTCTTCAAGACTTGAAAACAAAGACTGGAAAAACCACCACAAATGTTTAACCAAAATTATTCCAACTACAGAGTACCACAGACAAATGCATTTCTATTTACTGAGAGGAAACTCAAGAATGCTTTGAGTTCCTCTAAGCCTGGTAACAAAATATTGTGGTTCAAGATGGGTGTCAATGCTCCTTTGATCTTAAGTGCAGAGTCAAGTGAAGCCTTAGGGGAAAGGGCCAGATTTAACGCTTAGAAAAGTAACAGAATACTGCAGCTTATTGTCTCCACCAGTGCTTCCAGATTTTTAGTGGGGCCTCCATTTTCTACCTTCTCTTTTATGCTTGATATACAATCTAACACTTGGAAATATTTTCAAAGTTTAAAATTTCTTGTAAATCTGATGATCAAACTCATTTACACTGACTTAGGGGAAAAAGAACATTCTATGCAGGTCTAAGCACACCGCTAAAAATGAGCTACGTAACAGTCTCCCCACCCCCACCCCGCCCAGTATTCAGATTTTGCATATTATTTAAAAACGAGACATCTTCCAAAAAAGATTGGCACCTTTATTCTTCCTTCTACCCCCCCCACACCAAAAAAAAGATCTTTAAGCATTGGAATCTCTACATATGGTGGAAACTGAGGCCCAGAGCTAAACCTACACTAAAAAATATATGCAAATAACTCGACGCTGAGCTTGACACCCTTTCAACATTCTGCATGAGAATAGAGGTGTTGTCTCCTCCAGAGTCATATAGAATTTTTAAAAATTAAAAAAATAAATCCATCTATGAAGGAGATTAAAAGTGGGAGACAGGCGGCAAAGAGGAGTGAGGACACAGCGGCTCGAATGACTCTGGGTTTCCTTTCTGACAGGTTTTTAAAAACGGAATTCTTTCTCTACCATTGCCTGAGAACCACTATGGTTTTGCCAAGTCTGTAACAGCAATTATATGTAATCACCCACAAGCACACTTGTTTGTCTCAAGCCTGTAAATACTGTGTTAGTGATACTAAACTATTGCCATTGGCTTATCTGTAAAAAGAAAAATAGAGATTTGCATTTTATAAAGTTAACACTGAGGGCAGGTGAAAGGGCGACGAAACTGCAGTATACAATGATAGTTTCTTGGGACACAGAAACCAAAGTGAGGACTCGAGCAAGCCACCTGGTCAAGCTGTGTCTGAGGAAGAGTCGTAAGAGGAGACAATAAAATTGCTGCTGTTGGAATGGCCAGCCACCGACTGGGCAGCCTGCTGGCTCAAGTTGTTGCAGATGAGCACCAGCTGGTTGCTCTGGGCCTCAGACAAGGTGCTACAACTCTGGTAGACACTGAAGTTGGTTTTTCTGCCAGGGATGTTGCCCTTCTCGCACATGGTCTTCACCATCTTGGCTAGCTTGTTCTTGCCAAGGGCCTGGCAATTGTACCAATGCAGAGCTGCCAAGTTCACAACTGGCTTGATGGACAAGTAGAAGGGGGCATCCTCATAACGCATCGCAGGAGGCCTTCGCTGGGCATATTCTTTATAGTCCTGCACCGGGCAGGTCTGTGGGGCATGCTGGGTGGCATAAACTCGTGAGTCTGTCCCTCCTCTCTTGGTTTTGGCATTCAGATCACCAGTGTCCTGACCCATCCATTCCAAATACTCGAGCCCAGTTTCTGTGACCCGGAGCCGGATATCGCCCCATTTCAAGGTGGATCCATGGAAGCCTGTGCAGTGCCCAAAAGCTTTTGTATTGTTGAGCCAGACAAGGTTGAGCAGACCCTCGGGGTTATACCTGCTCAGCAGTCCCCTCTTCCGCAGTATGAGCTCATCGGCAAAGGTGAGCTTCATGGACTTGTGTGGCTTGTTTCCTTTTCCTTTGCAGCGGAGCTCAATCTGCTTCTGTTTCAGGGCCTCCTGGGAACGCTTGAACTCCTTATCCCTGGTGATGCTGTAGCCATACCTGTGCTCTTTCAGGTACCGTTCCAGCCCACACTGGTAATTCGCCAAGCTATTGGGTTCGTACTCAGACCCATCCTTCTGCCTGGCATCCACGAAGAAGGAGGCAAGGTAGGCATCTAGCTCCTTGCAAGGGATGACATAGATCTCTCTGGTTTCAGAAGGGTACTTGGAGATGAGGAACTCCCGGAAATTGCGGAGCGCAGTCTGAGTGCTCCGGATGGTTTTCTCATTCTGCTCCCTGCTGAGCTCAGCTGCTCTTTCATCCTGGTCTGCAACAAATGGGGGAGGGGAGGGACAGAGAGGGTGTTGATGAGTTCAGACAATGCACTTGCTACGCTGAAATAAAGTTTCCTTTTATAATGAAACGGGAAAGATGGATCAATTTTGAGAGAACAGTGATAACTAGTATTTATTGAGAGGGTTGTCGAACTATTGAAGCCAAATTCAGTTTCACAAATGTACTGGACAAGATATGGCCCATTACAATGAGAAAGAACTTCTTTTTTAAGACGTTTAATTTTGTTATTATTGTATGGCATGTGTGTATGATGTGTGTGAGTGGGTGTAGGTGCAAATATTGCACCTTCACACGACTCCAGGAATTGAACTCAGGTCCTCGGGCTTCCATGGCAAGCATTTTTATCCTCGGGAGCCACCTTGTTAGCTTAGTTAGTCATTGGCACATAGCTTACTGAGTGCAGGTTTGTAGAAAGGGTGAGACTGAAGGCAGTCTGTTTGAGGAAAAATTTGGGGCAGAAAAATGTGCTACCTGCCCTATGCAGTATGTAAGGAATGCCCTCCACAGCTGGTAAAATCACTTCATTTGTGAAACTGGAGGTGGCACTGGTTCCACTAGCTGCATTTGTCACTAACACAATAATGGAAGTCTATTTAGAAAGGACTAAATGCATTTGATGGCAGGTCATTTCATACTTTCTCTTCTATAGGAATTCAGATCAACGCAATTTTTAAGTACTCTTTATGGAGAGCAAAAGTTTATCTGTAGTTAAGTTATCAGAATCAATCTGGCATGTTAAAGGAAAACCAGGAGCACTAAACTTCACCATGACAAGGGGATAATTAAACATGAATTTTACAACTGAGGTGAAAGAAGGACCTATCTTGGTTCAGTCAGTCTTCTTGATTTATTATTTACCTTCTGCCTGAGGGACTTGCAGTACAAGCTCTGGATCATCCATTACGATGTACTGCTCCAAAAGGTAGACCTCACACTTTACTAGCTTCAGACTAAGATGATTGGCCAAATGTAGGTAGGCTAGCAGCCCACAAGCCTGTGACTATGCATTTTAACCAGTACTTCTATGCTCAGGAGGAGACTCAAAAGCATACCCAGGAACAACATTCTAGAAACTAGGCTTTTAATTCCTGCTCCTTAGGATGTATCTCAGGAGGCAGGGGGGTCTCAAGTTCAAAGCCTACCTTGACTCAGAAAAGCCAATTTCTATGCCTGTGTCCTGTGTAGGAAACTCCATTTTGCCCATTAAAAAAAAAAAAAAAAAAAGGTTAAGAAACACTATTTAAATCACTTTATTTTAGTAACATTTAATTTAAATTTGAGACCTTGACATTACTAATAAAAATACTTGGTTTAAAAAACACCTGCTCTGTATGTCAGATGTGGTCTGGACAAAACCTGGAATCCAAACTAGAATTACACAACAGAAAACCAGCCAACCTACTGCTGTGCAATGAAGTTAGTTTTCCTACTGACTTTTAAGAGGGAAACACAAAGTTAATTTAAAACAACAAAAATACAACATAAGACTCTTGGGTATAAGACAGTAGCATTCTGTTTATTGAAAATATCTATATAGGAAAATTTTCAGATTAATTTGTAAGACTGCTAAGTGGAAGTCTTCATAATTACTATACCTAATAATGGAAAGTAGTTTATTCATAGAACAAACTACTTTTTTAAATAAAGCATTACCACATATTACTATATATCTATGAATAACCATGCTATTTTTAAATGACGATTCGAAGACAGATTTCCAAATTTCATCATGTGCACAGGCACACTGAAGAGATGACATCTCCAAAATTCAAGTACACAAACAGACTTTATGTTTCAACAGCTTAACTTTCAGTGCCTCTTTTTTTGTAGTTGAAACTGTTTATATGTTAACAATGAAGACCACCTTCTCTTTCCATTAAAACAAAGAAGCAGGGTTGAGTGTGACCTCTCACCAGGTAGTTCCCTTGACTATTTACATGTGAGGCCAAAGGCCAGCACAGGTTTACTGTGGCTACTTATGACAATATCTAAAAGCAGTCTTCAAACTTCAAAGCTTTCCAGGAAATAAAGATTCACAGATAACTTCAGGAAAAAGATTTCCAGTCCCTCTATGTCCACATGGGCTCTTAAACTGCATCTACGTACCCTGTCACCTGCAATCCATTACAGTACCTGATCAGAGGTGTAATTTATCAATCAGTAATCAAATCCTAGCACAGCCTGTTAAAAATGCTAACAGCTAAGATCGGCCATTAGAAACTGTGTTGGGAGTCTGAACCAAGGTGCTACAAACTAGGACTTCCCAAAGGGCTGTTGGACAAGGGCAGTTGACTCTTTAAGATGGAATATTCTACTGAGCTAACAAAACACTTGGAATAAACTAGAGATTTAAATTTTCTGTCATTTCAGTGCGCTTGTATTCACAAGGTACTCAATAACCACCATCAGATTCCATCTTGAGATACCAACTCTTTTTGCTGGGTCTTAAGCTTAGTTAAGAAACAGAAGTTGCATCTGCTGGGAGGCCTCCCAAGTGCACTGCAGCATGGCCGCTGTCTTGTCTAGCAGCTTGGAAGGCACCCCAAGAGGCAGCTGGAAGACGCCCTCATTCACTTTGAGTAATAAGGGCAAAGAAATAGTTTTGAAATGCGGTACAAGTAATAAGTTCTCAACTAATAACAAAATCAAGTTAGACCAGAGAAAATCAATAGGAAATATGAAACAACTACAAGTATCACACATTTGTCTCCAGAAAAGTTTCTGCTCCATTCCTTTTAAAATGTGTTTATTAGGAATAACATACACAGAATATAGTCATTATGTGTACATGATTTTGACAAGAGTATTCACCTGTGATTCTAGTAACCATATCAGAAGAATTCCTTCTTCCATTGTTTCCCGGCACCAAGAAAACTGCTCTCCTGACTTGAAATATCATAGTTTGGCTGGCCTATTACTATAATGCCTATGAATGGAATCTTGGGATCTGGTTTCTTTTCTTGGCTTCACCCACTGTTGTGTATTTGCAGGTCCTTCATCTTCGAGGCAGTGTGATGCTCCGCTATATATAAATCCAGCATCTAAGTAAACATAAACCCCAAAGGCCCAGAAGAGTTAACAGAGCATGGCAGCCAAGAACACACAGGCACAAATGATTTTCTTCCAATGAGAGCAAGTATTTGGTTTTGTATTTGTATGTATCTGTTCACATGTACAGTATGTGCAGGTGTGAGTGCACAGTACTTGGTATAGGCCAGAGGTAAAGCCTGGGTAGCTTCTTCAACTGGTCCCCACATTATACATTATACTGTGTGCACACACTCATCTGCATGACTGTGGGTGCTCATGCAGAGGTCAGAGGACAACCCCGAGTTTTGATTCTTCCACGCTGCGATAATTCACCACTGCATGGAGCTGGCCTGCAAGCAGCTGGGAACTCTTCTCCTGTTTCACTGTAAAAGGACTGGGATTTTACATGAACATCATCACCACATCTGTATCTAGTTCCAGGGATTCAAATTTGGGTTTTCATTCTTGCATGGTCAACCCTTTATCCCATTCAGCCATCTCTCCAGCTCTTCCACTTAATTTCTGGAGACAGGGTCCCTCACTGAACTTAGCCTGGCTACCCTAGTCCCAGGGACCCTCCTGTCTCTGCCTTCCCAGTAGTGGGACTATGAACACACAATGCTACACACTACTTTTTACACTGGTGCTGGGAATTTGAACTCAGGTCCTCATGTTTGCATGGAAAGTACTTTGCCAACTGAGTCATATCCCCAGCCCCTAAACCAGTGGTTCCCTACCTTCCTAATGCTGTGCCCCTTTAATACAGTTCCTTATGTTGTGGTGACCCCAACCACAAAATTATTCCATTGCTACTCCATACCTGTAATTTTGCTACTGTTATGAATCACAATATAAATATCTGATATTCAGGATAGCTGCTATGCAAAGGGTTGAGAACTGCTGCCAGTTCCCAGTTCCCCACTGCCAGAGTAGGGTGTTCACACCCTCTCCATGCTCCATTAATCCAATTATTTCCTCCCTTGTTAGTAGATGGCATGGAAACACATATAATTAGTGCAGTATCTTATATCCTCATTTAATTTGAGGAGATCTATGTTAAATTGAAATCCAGATACATTTGCTCTGTTGCTGCTGCATCCAATTTAAAAAAAGCACAAATATAGCTATGCCATCCCTGTGAGTTGTTATTAAAGCAATACATCTGCAATGATAGTGAACAATCCCTGATGTTTAACTTCTTTTATTATTTTCATGTAAAACAAAGAGTATTTTGTCTCATTTTTCACTTAGTGATGTTCTAATTCTCTAAAAACTAGTGAACAATAAGCCCATGAGCTTATTACATAAGAATGTATTTTAAATTTGAAAAATAAAGTATCGGGTGAGCAGATTTACATGTAGGAACCTGAGATTGGAATCAATGATGAGTATACACTCAGGAGTATCATTAAGCCCTGAGCATGTGAAGAAGTGCTGTGGGTAAAAAGACTTGTGAAGATGACAACACAGCTAGAGAGGTCAGCAATGCATAGAAAACTAGTTTAACAGGCTAGGCATGGCACTGTGAACTGCTGTGTATTCTGCAGGAGTTGAGATCTTCAAGCTTACGTTTAAGGAAGCTTTATCTAATCTATGGAGGGAGTGGACAGTGTTCTGGAAGGTCAGACACCATTTGATTAACCAACAGAGGAGGGTGGGGCATCCCTGAGGAAACTGCTTGAGCACAAGGCAAAGATGAGAAGGAAGCAGCTTATGTTCATGAATCCGAAGCACTGAACTTTGTTTAGGGTAGGACACAGTGGACCAGTGGAATGACCATGGAGAATATGCTAAGTGCAAAGAACTCTCAAATGTCAAATCTGACAGATAAATAAATAAATAAATAAATAAATAAATAAATAAATAAATAAATCTGCAGCCTCCCCACCCCCTGCTGTTCCTGTCACACTGCCTTCTAGTCCTATCACCACCAGGCATGTG